TAAACTCTGCAGCACATTGGCCCCCCAGGGCAAGATTTGAGGAACCCTGCACTAAAGTCTCAAACCCAAAGAGATATTCTTTATAAAAGTTAAGACTCGTCCACGCCCTCCTAAAACACCTTGTTCAAACACGCCCCCACATGTCTAAGTCACTGAGTGGGAAGATTTGCATAACATCGCCCAAATGTTCACGCAAAGAAAGAAGGCGTAACTTTGATTCTCGCTGTAGTTGTCAGGGAGTCTCAGTCACCAGCTCTGGACTCCATGTCCCAGAATCCTCCCCGGCTCACACCTGTTCTCAGTCACAGTCACCATAGTCATCAGCACCCACGTTTCAATCACCTGTGTTCTGATTCCCCGCACCTGCTGCAGCTCATCAAGCTCCCCTTTATCTCCTCATCCGGTCTACCGTTCACTACCTTGAACCAAGCCTGACTCTCTTGATACTTACATATGTGTTTCCTTACCTCAGACGTTCCAGTTTCTCCACCGCTCCAACTCTCCACTGCTCCACGTGATTCCTGCAAGCTAAGCCCTCTGAACCTTGTCACTTTGTGCTACACTCACCTCTTGTCACCACCTGGTTCACTTCTTAATCTCTGTCAATAAAAACCCTTGTTTGACCACTTACCTCTGTGTCTCCTAGCCTGTGTCTTGACAGTAGTATTGTTGCCGCCGCCGCCATGTCGTGGAGATTCTGTGTGTTTCGAAAGTGTAGCGAAACTACTTTGTTTGGCCTTCCAAAAGAGGACACGACTAGAAATCAGTGGTTAAGTTGTATTTACAACACTGTTCCAGAACAGTTCAACCCAAATATTCAGATGTGTGCAGCGCATTTTACGGAGGACTGTTTATTTACCTGGGAGAGTAGCCTACAACGGTGCAATAAATATTTTAATTTAAATGGGCACCTATTAATGTGATTCTTTAGACCAACATGAATATTCGTATGCTGTCAACTGGACTTTTTTTGCGGAGAGGTGTTATAATCTCTTGTCTAGCATACTGCTAATAAAGCTAGTGTTTATAAGATTCTTCAGAGTTTACATTATGGTTTACTTGGGGAAATATACAAATGCAGACATGGTTTTATGTTTACGCGGTGCGATACGCAACGTGTAAAAAGACAGTATAAGTCATTATAATCAGTAATTATGTCCCCACTGGATGCAACAAATGCCTCGTTTATAATGGCTTTTATTGGTTTTGTCTTGTAGCGCCGGGACACGGCATCACAGTATGGTAAGGGCCGTAACATTTCCGTCACACGCTTGAGGCATTCGGCCAATCACAACGCACTGGATAGCTGGTCAATCAGCACACAACTTGCATTTCTGAACGATGAGCTTTGTAAAAATCAACGCGTTTCAGAAAGGCGGGGCACAGAGGAGCAACAATAATGTAATGTTTTAACCTTAAACCTCATAAACACATTGCATTACACGAAATACACAAAATAATGTTCTTTTTAGCAACGTCATATGACCTCTTTAAAAAAAAAGCATAGGAAAATGGGGCTTGTCTTGGCTATGACTTTATCCTACATCAAACGGGATGTTTTTCTTTTTTACAGCCAGTGTGTAAATGGTTTGTAAATTCTGGCTGGAGATGCAGGGGGAAAAAACTGTGGTGGTGTGTATAAAGAGCAGTTACGAGGGCCACAGGTGCTCTCTCTGGAAAATATTTACCCAAAAAAGCTGAAGACTGTTTATGCTACTAGGAACAAACTACTAGTTGATGTCGTTTGAATTTGACTTTTTTCAAAGTGTTGTGTGCTCTGTTTGTCTGTGGGAGTGTATCCGTTTGACATAAAATGAAGGGAAAATCGTTTTTATGCATACACATTTTTTTGATGTAATGGGTTTGCTGAGAATATCTGGTAAAGCCAACACTGTGGATTTGTGTGTAAGTGTGTGTGAAATGAGCGTCTCAGCTGTACTCTGTTGAAGTAATTTAGAAGTGAACTAAAATATGTCTTCACAGGACTCGCTGGCAGCATGGCCAGTGAGACTCAGGTCTTTGTTCATATAATTTGTCATGCTAATTAAGCCAAAGTCTACAACAAAAGGCCACAAATCATTACTGAGGTTAGCTTAGGTATTATGTTATAGGTTGTCCAGTTATATGTTAGGTTAGGTTCTATGTTATGCTATGGGTTATATGTTAGGTTAGGTTATGTTACTGTAGGTTGGATGTTAGCTTATGTTAGGTTAGCTTATGTTATGTTAGGTTGCATGTTATGTTAGGTTATATGTTATGTTATTGTAGGTTGGATGTTGGTCTAGGTCAGCTTTGTTATAGGTTATATGTTAGTTACTGTTACTGGTTGGATGTTAGGTTATGTTATACTGTGTCAGGTTATACCAACAGAATGTGGCATAACATGACAACATGGCATTTCATAAAATAACATAACATATATACCAGCGGAATAACCTTGTAATATGTACCTAATTTGCAGTTAAATGTGTCAAATGTGCACAATAACACTCATCAGAAAAGTCTTTAAATGTGTGCATGGCAACAAACTTCTGTTTTTCAATGTCCACAAGGCCTGAAGGAACTTAACTACTAACAGTTCTGGTTTAAAGGAGGTTATTACACTGCAAAGAAAACCAGCTGCTTCAAAATATTCATTTACCTAATATATGTGTCATGTCAGTCTTATGCGCACCCCTTCAAGTAAAGTGTAACCGATGGTTGTAAACATTTTCAGCAGAGGCAAACTTTATGAAGATTTCTGAGGCAACGATTTTATACAGGAACATAAAACACACATAAATGCCACTAAATTTGGTGGTTTTGAAGTCTCATAACTGTTGTGTTTTTGGTAAATAAAATTGAGAAAATGGCTGCATGAGACACGTGAATGTGAGCAGACAATGCACCCAGCCGGACTAAATCCCAGCTGTGTTTGAGCTTTTGTGTCTAGCTGGGCCGTTTTCCAGTCACCTCTTGTGAACTCTTTTATCACTGTTCTGTGATGAGTATAGGATTTGTCAGGGCATGAGGATTTTTTGATTCGCTACTGTAGCGCATGTGATAAACACGCCAGGTGACTGAACATAAAAGTCGGATTTGAGGGGCTTTGTCATGCTTTGGCTTCAGCTCCTGGAATCTGACCTGCTTTAGAAGAAAATCGGACAGGTCAGCATTTGGACGGGATACAAAAATACCCCCTACTGTATATCCAATCAGGGTCTTTGCGATCCTTTCGCAGCTGGGACGCAAGTGCTGTGTGGGTGTGTGTGGACGAGGGGGTGGTAGAAAGAAGACACAGGAATGCAGTCGACGCCAGTTTGCTCTTTGGCCTTTCAGAGGTGACCAAGCATATCCTCTTAAGCCTCCAGCCTTCCTGCCTCATTCCCTAACATAAAAGACCAAACGTTGGCCGAGCCGCAAAAGACAAGGAAAAAATAAAAGGAGATGATTCAGGATCATCTTTTGCACTGTGCAGTGGTCCATCTATGGTTGTATCTGGAGACAGAAGCTGCAAAAAAAGGTTTCAGAGGGCTTCTTTTTTTGTAGCGATGCCATAGAAAAATAACCTTTCAGGGAACCATTTTTGCTTAGTGTGAAGAATATTTCATTCTAAATAACTTGTTTCATTATAAAGAACCTTTTCTACAGTGTACAGGTTCCATGGATGGTCTTCATGGTTCTATGGAGGTTCTTCATGTCTTTGAAAGCTTGTACGACTTTCTTCTTATGAACACAAAAGATATTTGTGACACTGGTCCACAAAACCAGTCATAAGTAGCACATGTATATATGTAGCAATAGCCAACAATACATTGTACGGGTCAAAATTTATATTTTTCTTTTATGCCAAAAATCATTAGGATATTAAGTTGAGATCATGTTCCATGAAGATATTTTGTAAATTTCCTACCGTAAATATATCAAAACTTAATTTTTGATTAGTAATATGCATTGCTAAGGACTTCATTTGGACAATTTTAAAGGCGATTTTCTCAATATTTAGATTTTTTTGCACCCTCAGATTCCAGATTTTTAAATAGTTCTATCTTGGCCAAATATTGTCCTATCATAGCAAACCATACATCAATGGAAAGCTTATTTATTCAGCTTTTAACATTAAAAATGTTTAAGCTGCTCTTTTCCATACAATAAAAGCAAATAGTGACCAAAAGAATGATGAAGCACCATTCAATGTGATGCATGGAACTTGTTTGCTGTAAGTTTGTGTATTTAAGGACGTTTTGTTGAAAACTAAAGCTTTGGTATTCAGTCGTAATGAAATCGTAATCTGTTTGGACCTGGAAGTCTTGATGCTGATAGCCTTCTGATGTGTTTTGTGATTTGTGGTGGTAAACTCCAGAAGATCCATGCGATGCTAATGTGTGTTTTTTCTGCGAATCATCAACTTTGTCATAATTTTTGCAATGTGCAAGTTATTTTGTATAAACATAAAACAGAGTTGTGTTCGTAAAATATGTTGTTCCTAGTAAGGATTAAAGAAACTGATGCCAATCCAAGATCTACAGAACAGATTGAGGGCTGCAGTTCATAAAGGCCGAAAAATAACAGCTGACGGCTTCCGTGAACTTGTTTTGAATTTTTTTCCCCTCCAGTGATAAAGCAGAATTCATTGGAATTATGATTTAAATAGTCTCTGGTTTATTTATTCAAATTTTTAATGCCTTTCAGAGGCCAAAAGGAGCTTCCCTGCTGAAGAGACCAGTTCAGACCAGAATGAATTTCTATGCTTGTCCAAACTGGCTATACTGTGTTCTTCAACACATTTTTTTTTCAGCAAGTCTGATAATGATTTGTTTAAAGATAATATTACACACATGGGCTGGTAATTTTCTTTCATATAATTGCATTTATGTGACTTGATCTCGCAATTACAACTTTATTTGACATTCTTCCAATGTAATTTCTCAATATTTGGGCTGTAAAACTCAAAAATGTGTTAAGAGAGGGCCTCCAAAGTTAATTTTTCAATGTTTTTGTTCTGTTCCTTTTCAAAAAAGCTCGGGCAACTGGACAAAGCTGCATCTGCTGCTCATACGTATTTCCAGGCCAACCCTGAGCATGTGGAGATGGGAGAGGACCTGGAGCAGTACAAAGCCCAGAAAGGTGTAAAAGAGGAAGACTTTATTGACCGGGAATCCCGCCCACACCAGGTGAGTGACTGCCGACCCCAATTACGGCACTTTGCAATGCTTCTTGAACCTTCACGAACACCCTACAAAGCCAGAACAAGAAGTTCAGCATCATGAAGTGCGTCTTTCTATTTACAGAAAGCCTTCTTTGCTGGGGTGAAGCTCTACGACAAAGGCAACTACGAAGAGTCCGTGACGCTCTTTGAAGAGGCTCTGACTGAGTATTACCGTGCCGATGTGGAGTGTCGGGCCCTCTGTGAAGGGCCACAGCACTTCGAGGAGCAGAAACATGTCTTGTACAAATACAACCTCTACGAGCTAATCTCAGGTACAGATGCTTTTGTACTCAGAGCTTTTCTGCTTCCTCCTAATGTGGTAAAGCTATCATCCGTGGTCTTGAGAAGGGTCTGGGAATTTTCCGTTCTCAAATGGTTCTTTGGGACTTTCTATTGTGGATATCATGTTTCTGAGCTATTTGTGTTTCCAGAAATGGAGATCTTCCCGTTCTATGACCTCTATGCAAGTTATTTCTGAGTAGGCAAGAGATACAAATGTTTGACCTAAGTTTGAAATACAATCTGTTATTGTTGTGTCTTGACAGGCAGTTCATGATAGTACAACAATGAACAGCTTCAAAGAGTGTGACATATGGCTTCCCTATACAGTGTTTTGAACATAAAACTTACAATTTAATAAGCTTATTTGGATCAAAGCTGAATTCACTTTTATGATTTATTATTTATCAATAGAGAAGCTGCTCGTTTTAACTTCAGCCTGTGAAGTTGCAGGGAGAAAACTAGCTTATGTCTGTTAAGCATTCATAACATGAGCCGTGTTTTGTCTGGATTGCATTCCTGCTCAAATCCAGACTACTGTTTGAAATTCAGCAGGCCACACACAGTCCAACTGACCTCAGTTTTAAAAAAGATAACCATTTAATGCTAATATAAAGTGACTGTATATTGAATGTGTTTAGCTTTAATTTAATGTTTAGTTTTTCAGTGTTTATTATACACACCTGTGATCACACATCAAATGAATTCTATTTTAATTAGTGACAAGTATGTTGCTTGGTGATCACAAACAGTCAACATTAAGGGATAATTTGTACTCGGCTGGTCATTTTCTCAAAATAAACCCAAACAGAGTGATCATTTTGTATCATCCACACAGATTCTAGTGACTTATTATTCAAAAGCACTATCTTTCAAAAGTTTCGGAACAGTAAGATATATTTTTAAAGAAATTTTAATTTTTCTTTTCAGTAAGCATGCAATAAATTTATCAAAAGTGGCAGTAAAGACATGTATACTGTTACAAAATGTTCTAATAAATGCTGTTTTTATTTGAACTTTTTTTTTTTAATAATCCTGAAAAGAAATGTATCAAGGTTCCTACAAAAATATTAATCAGCACAACTATTTTCGAAACAATAATAAGTGTGCTCAGAAAATCAGCATATTAGAATGATTTCTGAAGGATCATGTGACACTGAAGACTAGAGTAATGATGCTGAAATTTCAGCTTTGATTACAGAAATAAATTACTTTTTAAAATATATTTAAATACAGTAGTCAACATTTGAAGTGGATCAAAACCTTTCATCAAAGTTGTCCTAAAACCAAAACAGTACCCGTTCTTGTCTTAGGACAACTTTGATGAACTTTTTTGATCCACTTTAAATGTTGACTACTGTAGAAAACAGCTATTTCAAACTAATAATATTTCACAATATTACTATTTTTACTGTGTTTTTGATCAAATAAATACAGCACTGGTGTGCAAAGAGACTTATTTCAAAACATTAAAACATTTTTTTTTTAAAACCTAAAGACACCAACGGTAAATTTCATTTACCACATATATTCATTCATCATATTCATAGTTGTTGATACAGATCTCACAATGCTGGTTAGTAGTTTTTAGCTGCTTTCAGTTTAAGCTGTCACATTTTAGTAAAATTGTTGTAATAGTTGCATAATAGGCACTAAATTAAGCTAATATAACTAACTGACATCTTTTAACCATGTGAAAGTCCATAAAAGTCAAATAGGGAGTCGTAATTCACTAACACTTATGTCTTAACATCCCCCTAACATTTGGCTTCCAAAACAATGCATGTCATTGAGCTGCCAAAATGGTTCTTAATTATTGCTGATCGCATTTTACTGATTAAGGAAGGATGTGAAAGACTGTTGCATGATTGACATCTGTTTATGGCCTAAATGTGAAGAATGGGCCGGTCGTGAGGGGACTTGTTCTTCACGGGAGTCGTCAGTGTTTCTGAAGATAGCTTCGGGGGGTTTTTTGCATGATGGCATGCCTCAGAGTTCAGCAAGGAATCCCTGGAAAATATTCAGAATGATGTCACTGACATTTTCTGTCCGTTGGGTGTGTTTGTGCACATTAAGATCTGAGAGCATACGTGTATGTATGTTTTTGTTAGAATGGAGACATTGTTTAGGGATTGTGGGATTGGACACTTTTCGGTATGCAATGACATGAATCTCTGCTACAATTATCTAATTTTCTGCTGTATTAACAAAAGGTCTTTTAAAGCAGATGGGTTGGTCATCATCATGATTTTCATGGTTTCTAAGTTATCATTGTTATATTTACAAAAGAAGTCAAGAGCTAGTTATATGCCTTTGTGAATACATAAATAGACTAACAGAGAACAAATTCGACAAATAGCATCTCCATCCCATAATACGCCTGTTAAACCCTCTTTTGATAGCAGCTCTTAGTCATCTTTTTAAGTTGTGAATCTGTTTGCACTTTCATGTGGGATCAATCTGCCTACTACCCATCCACCACATTATGAAACCCTTTAACGTGAGTTTAAAATCTTCTCAGCTCTCTAATTTAATCTTCAACCTTGTCCACATGAAATACACCAGCACCTCTGGTTGCACATATTTGATTTGATCCCAGTTAGATGATCTCACTCCATGTGCTTTGGGAAAAGACATGGATCACATTTTCAACTCACTCTTAAAAATAAAGGTGCTTCACGATGCCATAGAAGAACCTTTTTGTCTAAATGGTTCCATAAAGAACCTTTAATATCTGAAGAACCTTTCTGTTTCACAAAACTTTCTTTGTGGTGAAAGAAGGTTCTTCAGATTACAAAAAGGTAAGAAAGAGATGGTTCTTTAAAGAACCTTTGACTGAATGGTTCTTTGTGGAACCAAAAATGGTTCTTCTATGGCATCGCTTGAAGAACCTTTTGAAGCACCTTTATTTTTAAGAGTGTACATCAACCAGTATTACAGTGTGTTATTAAGCCATTAGATCCTGCCACGATGCCCTGTTTCTGTAAAGTACACTCTGAAAAATAAAGGTTCCAAAAGGTTCGCAGCAATGCCATTGAAGAACTATTTTGAGTTCCCCAAATAATTTTTCAGTGAATAGTTCTTAGAAACATTATTATCTAAGTGTGAAGAACATTTTAATAATCTAAAGAAACTTTTCCCTCTAGAACCTTTTGTAGAAAGGAATTGATTCCAAGAGTGTTAAATGTTCTTCACGGAACCATAGATGCCAGTAAAGAACTTTCGATTTTAAGAATGTAACATAAGGTGACCAAACGTGCCACTTTCGGGGGACACGTTCTGCACAGGATTTCTAAATTGCCTAAAATAACCAGGTGTTGGTTGTTTGTGCTTCTCCGATCGAACGTTGTATGACATCTAAGTACCATCTCGAGGTACTTTGATGTCACAGAATTTCTTAATTCTTCATAACATTTCTTTAGAATATTAAATGGTCTTCACTATAAGAGAAAATAGTTTTCTTAAGGACTATTAACTGAAAGGTTCTGTGAGGAATCAAAAATGGTTCTTCAATAGGCAGCGCCGATCCTAGACTTCTGGGGACCCTACGTAAAACTGTGTCTGCGTTTTTTTTAGTCTCGAGCAAGACTGTACGACATTCACATTACGTGATTTGACTGATTTTGACGTAGAAAGGGCGACAGCGCACCGCATTAAAAGAAATGATCATTCATGTTTTCATAACCGTTGGCCAAAATCAAAAAACAAAACCAAAATTAAATCATCTTTGAGAGCAAGGGGGCCCCCTGGTGTTTCGGGGGCCAAATGGTTCTTCAATAGGCAGCGCCGATCCTAGACTTCTGGGGACCCTACGTAAAACTGTGTCTGCGTTTTTTTTAGTCTCGAGCAAGACTGTACGACATTCACATTACGTGATTTGACTGATTTTGACGTAGAAAGGGCGACAGCGCACCGCATTAAAAGAAATGATCATTCATGTTTTCATAACCGTTGGCCAAAATCAAAAAACAAAACCAAAATTAAATCATCTTTGAGAGCAAGGGGGCCCCCTGGTGTTTCGGGGGCCCTACGCAGCTTGCGTATTTTGCGTATAGGGAGGATCGGCTCTGTCTATAGGCACTTTCACACTGCGTAGTTCTAAGACCTCAGTTCTTGGAACTATAGCCTGCAGGCATTTTCGCACCGGCAGTAGGAACTCTTAAGCAGCAGACAGCTACGTCTTTATTCGCAGCATTTACAAACGTCAACAACTGGTTTGAGACCCTACTCTGAAGTAGGAGCTAATTAAAAAAAAAACCCTAATAAGGAACCTTCATTTTTAAGAATGTAACATCCATGGAATCTTTCCATTACACAAAAGATTTTATAATGGAAGAAGTTTCTTCAGGGTATTAAATGGTCTTCACAAAAAGAAAAAGATAGTTCTCTCATGAACTATTCACTGAAAGGTTCTCTGAGGAACCAAAATGGTTCTTCTTTAGCATCACTGCAAAGCACCTATTTTTAAACCTTTGTTTTTATGGATGAAATGGCATATAGTTCAAATTCAAACATCTGTTTTTGTTGTAACTTTTTCTGATAACTGGTTCAAGATGGAGAATACGAACAGGCTAGTGGCCCCAAGCTAATTTGAACTTGAGACCCCTCATCTAAATCATGTTGAACTTTGTCTTCCAGATCATTACACACAGGTTCTTCACTGTCAGCATGAGTGTGTCCGAGACTTGGCTACGCGCCCCGGTCGCCTGTCGCCTGTGGAAAACTACCTGCCACTGCATTACGACTACCTGCAATTTGCCTATTTCCAAGGTAATCCTCAATACATGTCAAAACTAGCTTGAATGAACGTTCTCTTCTTCACAGTCTTGGGGTAAAAGTCTTTGGGCTTGATTTTGTATCTGACCCCAATTCTCTTCTTGGATCTTGGATCTTGGAATTAGTCAGTATTGGAAAGAAAATGTCAACGGTAATTATAATCAGATTAAAAGCACCTTGAAAATAATTTTGAAATGACAAAACCTCATTAATCATGGAATTTACTTGATCTAAAGGAGAGGGAGAGTCTGATAAATATTTCAGACTTGATTGATTCTTCTTGGAAATGTCAAAGCAGAACTTTTCCTTCCACCTCAAGAAAATTTCAATGAAAAATTTTAGTATTACTGCTTATTGTTCATAAAATGCCAAATCATTCAGGTGTGTGTGCGAGTGCCGTCTCTGCAGCAAGTCTCAGAGCTGTGTGTTTCCACTCGCTCACCCCTGTGGTGTTTGTTCCATTGTGGTCACTGGCCTGGAATGCAAATTTTTCTGAGCATGTGTGTCTCCAAAAGGAAATAAACGTGACTGTGGGAAAAGATGACTCCAAAAAATCAGACAGCCTCACAGGATGAATAATCTCCCAAGATGAGCCAAGCAACAGAACCCTGGTGGCTTCATCAACACTGAATAGCTGTTTCTTTTCTCTATGTGTTCAGCTGGGAGGAATGAAGAGGCGTTGGAGTGTGCATTGACCTACCTGTTGTTCCACGAAGGCGAAGAGTTCATGACTGAGAATATGGAGTATTACAGGGAGGTGCTGGGACATGATGGCCAGCCTCGTAAGGTGAGACATGGCAGTGCAAGATGAGGAAACTTAAAAGAGGAAATTAAGTCATAGAGAGGAGCCCTGCAGACCCTCATGACTGTGTAAAGGTTAATAGGTGTCTTTAAATATCATATAACTTGACCTTTTAATGGCAAGCCAAGGTTAGATCAGGTTGTAAAATGTCATGTGGTGCCTAAAAGTATATTCATGAATGAGTAATTCATGTTCGTGTTCAGTTACTTGAAATAACTGAATTTTACTACTAAAAAGTAAAAAAAAATATATGTAAAAATGTTTTTGAAAATAATGATTAAGATGTGTATGTTCAGCAAATCAGTGTCAGTTAGTATCAGTTAGATACTATTATATATACAGTATATATTTTTTTAGTTTTTATTAATATTTTGAATTAGATTTATTATAAATTTTCTGTTTTCATCTGAATTTTAAGGAAATTTTTAGCAATTTTGTTGTGTATTTTGCATGGAAGCTTGTTTCTGCCACTGAATAACAAAAAAAATAAAAAAGTAATTGCAACTTCTTTCCTTACAATTTCTCATATTTTTCCCCTCAGAGTTGTGTGATATAAACTTGCATTTGTGAGTAAGTAAAGTATGAATTGTGAGTTAAAATTATATATATATATATATATAATCCTGTGGTAGAAACTGGATTACATTTTTTCATCATTTTTATTAGTTTTGTTGTTTAATATGTCTATATAGTTTTTAATTTTTATTTCAGTTTTAGTTTTAGCTATGCCCTGGAAACTAGCTGAAGTTTCTATTTCAATTAAAGTTTGTTTTATTTCAAGTAACAAACTTTTATATGTATTTAGTTTTAGTTAACTATAATAACCCTGACACTCACATGTATTCAAAATAAAAAAATATATTTTTACTTGGTTGTTGCACCACATGACATTTTTTAAATTAAGACAATAATCTCAATAATCTGCTTTACTCAGATGTACATCACATGCAAGAAGAAAAAATTATTCCGTTACATCACAACATAATTCTTGAAAATGGTTTAATGTTTTTCAAAACTGTATTAATAATAAGAGTTAATTTCTAAGACCATGGTAAATTTTGGTAAAACCTTTTCTTTATCTCGGACATTCTCATTTCATTGAACCAGATGCAATTTTCTTGATACTTACAAGCCATTGACAAACTGTTTATAGAGACATTTATTGTTCTCAAGGTTTCAATGTATTGTTCTCAATCTCAAGGTCTCCTGAGATAGACCCAATTTATTAATTTTCCCTTTACTTGATGCTTGTCTTTAAAGTAACTCACCATACACTAGCAACAGTCCCCATTGAGCAAGTTCAAGTTCATAATGTTGATAGTTCCTGGCTCACCACTTGCAACGTTTTGACAGATCCAGATCTTCCCAGTCCAGATCCAATACGAAATCCCTACAGTAGACTTGTTCCCCAAGTGCAGAATTTGGCAGGATTCCAGCGTGCATAAACACACTGGAATAATCATGTGTTTAGTGGGTTTGGATTTCGAGATGTACAGTAGTGACTGCACGCACTCTTGAACCATCCCAAAGAGTCTTTCGCTGGAAAGCCTGGAAGCTATTAGCACTGTAAAAGCCACATGATTTTGGTAAGTCAAGAGCCAGAGGGCTTGAATACGTCTTTCACTGCAAGATCCTTCAGTTCTTAGCTCATAACAACCAAGTACATTCTTTTCCACACCATTGCAGAATGTTTCCATCTATCTGGCTTTCTGCCACATCTGATTGCCCGATTTCTAGTTCCTCTGGGACCTTGTTAACCCACCGTTGAGATACTGTGCTGACAGCATAGTCTTCTTGAACAGGGAGCTGAGTAAAAAAGTTTAACTGAAACACCGCAAAGCTCCCTGAAACAATTTGCGAGCTGTTTGCATTTGAAGAACATGAAGCCGCACATGCTACCAATGTAACTCTTCCCCCAAAAGGGCACCAAGGCTGCCATTTCATGTGGTCTCATCCACACTTAGAAGCAGCAGACTTTGCTCCATTTATAATAATTTGCTTTAAATGAGTGCCAGAGACCACTAATAAAAAGTCCTGGAATAAGCCAAGAGAAATCGCACAGGTTTTGGAACGGGCTTGATTTTAGACTGAGACTACGTCATCCATCCCTAAGGTCACTTTTCATTTTGTCGGTCATAGACAAGATGTTTTAGGAGGCCATAATCTATAATCTATGGCATGTAGGAAATATAATCAGTTTCACTATGTTTCTTTTATGTCTCAGGAAGCTGAACAGTATCTAAGGCGGCACAAACAGGAGTTAGACCTGCTCCTCATCGGCAGCAGTAATCTTGGAGTGCCCTATATTGAAGGGGTAGGTTCAGAAAATCTCAAGTCTGTCATTTCTTTCTTTCTATGCCTTTTTAAGAAGGCCTTTGATCTACTTGATCATTACTTATTATTAGACAAGATGTATGCAGTTGTTTTTTCTCAATTCTTTATTGTTGCTTAATTCTTATTTACGTAACAAATCAATGTGTGGTTATCCAAGGGAAACAATCTGATTTATTTATTCAAGAAAGAGGTGTACCACAGGGCTCAATATTGGGCCCTCTCCTTTTCCCCTCCTTTTCCATTTTTATCAATGATCTTCCCTTAGTTCTTTCACACTCTTCTGTTCATCTTTATGCTGACAATACTGTCATTTGTATTTGAAACCCCTACTTAACTCAAATTCAAAATATACTCCAATCGATTTTAATGCTTTGCAAGAATGGCTGCTTTCTAATAATTTACAACTTAATAAAGATAAATCTCATACCATGGTCTTTGGTACAAAGCAAACGTTTAAACTAAAATCTAATAATCTAACAATAATGTGTAATGATGGCACATATTTGCATCAAATTAAATACCTGGGCTTATGACTGGATCCTGAACTTTCTTTTAAACCTCATATTGATTAAATACTTAGTAATATTCATTTTGGAATCAGTGTATTGTATTATTCTTAAAATGGTTTTACTTTTAACTTTTGAAAAAAAACAACAAAAAAAGTTGCTTTGCAACTTGTATTACAGTTTTTGGACTATGCTGATGTAGTTTAACAGAATACAACTAAAACAAATCTTTTGCCTCTTACTACAGCCTATAATAAATTGTGTAGATTTGTCATTGGATGTTCATTTGATTTGACTCAATATTAGAAGGCATATACACTGGTTTGCAATAATACATTTTAATTATCCTAAGTATTTGAATCAGTATTTGATATTATATTCTTCTTCATATAAATGAAAACATTCAGCACATTTTTTTCATACTCCTTTACTTAAGAAGGTTTTCGCTGCAGATTGGAATAATCTACCTTTAAATGTACGATCTTTGACATTTTATATGTTTAAAAGTGTTTTTTTCTTGTTTTTAAACTTCTTGCAGTTGTTTAGATGATATACTGTATCTATGTTTATATTAATTTAGGGTTTGCTTTGTAAATGTAAGAGGAAATGTTTCAGTCTTGTAACAGCTGTGACAGTGAACAGGTGCTCCTGTAAGATTTGAGATTTCACAACCAGCCTACATCGCCCCCTTGTGGTTGGGATCATCAAACAAGGCCAAATATCATAAAGGCACATCTCTTCATAACTATAGAGTTTTTAATGTACGAGTCTAATTGTTGTTCATCCTCAGCACTACTGGAGCAGTTCGGGCGGTAGAGAAGATGCTAACAGGTAGGCGTTTTCATTAATATAATAAAGCATAATAATAATGTTCAGAGCTTATGTGTTGAATGTGTCTCTTTAGGATTCCTTCTGGTACCGATGGCTGGATGGACTATGTGCCAATATCAGCAAAGAGAAATGTCACAATGTCTGTGTTACATGAGCTGCGAGAAGGTGATATACTGTTTCTGACTTTTAAATAACCTTAAAATATTGTAATAGACAAGATACAAAACCATACACATAACTTGAACAAAACACAAGAGGGACCAAAATAGGTGAAAAGTTACATTTGTAATCCACCCAAATATGAACATCCTGTCATTATTTGTTTTCTGAAGCTCTTTTCCATACCATGCCACATCATAGAGATGCTACAAAAAATGGCAGAACTTTTATACTGAATGCTGTAGAAACAATATACTGGTTCAGCACATTAGTTATATTTCCATTAATATTTCAATATTTTACCATTTGTATTGGTTATTAAAGGGGTCATATGATGCGATTTAAATTTTTCCTTTCTCTTTGGAGTGTTACAAGCTCTTGGTGCATAAAGAAGATCTGTAAAGTTGCAACGACTAAAGTCTCAAATCCAAAGAGATATTCTTTATAAAAGTTAAGAGTCAGCCACACCTACCTAAAACGGCTCGTTCTAACACGCCCCCACATATCTACGTCACTATCTGGGAAGATTTGCATAACGCTGCCCAAATGTTCACGCAAAGAAAGAAGGCGTAACTTTTATTCTCGCTGTAGTATTGTTGTTGCGGCGGCCATGTCGTAAAGACACTGTGTGATTCGTTGTGAAAGCGAAACTACTTTGTTTCTCCTTCCAAAAGAGGGCGATATCTGCTTCGTCATGCCTGGAGCTGATCTGTGCTGGTTGCTGAGGAAATACTACAACTTTGCCCTGTGGATCGCCGGATCGGCTTTCACCGTGGACGAAACGGAGTCACATGTGTTTGCCGCAAGCCCTCCGGACGTTCCTTCGTCGAATGTTTTATGTTTACGCGGCGCGATGCAACGCAACGCGAAAAAAGACAGTATAAATCATTATAATCCATTATGTCCCCACTGGATGCCTCATTTATAATGGGTTTTCATGTTTTTGAATCATCGCTCCGGCCTGACAGGGCATCACAGTATGGTGAGGGGCGTAACATCTCCGTCACACGCTTGAGGTATTCGGCCAATCACAACGCACTGGATAGCTGACCAATCAGAGCACACCTCGCTTTTTCAGACCGATGAGCTTTGTAAAAATCGAACACGTTTCAGAAAGGCGGGGCATAGAGGAGAAACAATAATGTACAGTATGTGGAAAATAATGTGTTTTTTTAACCTTAAACCGCATAAACACATTTCATTACACCAAATACACAAAATAATGTTCTTTTTAGCAGCATCATATGACCCCTTTAAATGTAATTTTGTGGTTGTGTACATGTGTATGTGTGTATAGGAGGTCCATTGCTGTATGAGAATGTACGACTTGTACAAAACTCTGACACCCTGAATGGAAGTCAGAGGGTGCTTTTTGATGACGTCATCAGTGAGGACGAGTGCTCTGAGCTCAAACATCTGGCACACGTGAGAGTCTAACTTCTGTTATGTCATTCTCAGAGTATAAAACTAATCAGTTCATGTTATATAGAATGTTATTTCATTTTCTGCTAGATGTGCTATAACTTTACAGTTAAGTACTTTGACTGATCAGGTTGTTATATCAATATTTCCTTAGACTGTCACTGCGGCTGGTGACGGCTACAAGGGGAAAATGTCTCCTCACACACCAAATGAGAAATTCGAAGGGGCGACAGTATTGAAAACGCTGAAGGTAAGACCTACGTTTTTAACAATGACACAAAATACAAATAATGTGAAAAGTGTTAGCATTTTGCTAAGCTAACAGAATGAAAAATGTGTAGCACACGCAAACATTGGGTAAAATGGTCCAGTTGTATTTAATATTTCTTATCAGACTTGTTATTTGGAATTTAAATGTACTTATACTTACAATTTCCATTTATTATTATGTATTATGTAGTATGTACTTTTTGATTGGACAAAGTCGTGAATAATTAAACAGTAATGAATATTATAACATTAATGATTAATTATTTGTTGATGCTGATAGCCTTGTGGGCAGTGCGCCAACATTAAAACGTCGTTGCACTCCGGGGGTGTCCCAAGTTTGAATCCCGGCTTGAGGACCTTTTCCTATCCCGCCCCCTCTCTCTCCCACTTTGCTTCCTGTCTCCTCTACACTGTCCTATCACAATAAAAGCAAAAATAAATTATTCATTATTTATCGTTGCAGTATGGCTACGAGGGACGAGTTCCTTTAAAAAGTGCCCACCTCTTTTATGATGTCAGTGAGAAGGCCAGGCGGATAATTGAGTCATACTTCATGCTAAACTCTACTCTGCATTTCTCATACACACATTTAGTGTGTAGGACCGCCATATCTGGTACGTCACCTCAGCTCTCAGTTTCTACCTCTGATTAAACCACATTTGGATTACTTAAATCAGAATACACTACACATAATGCTGCATCATGAGGTTTATGTATACTTGCTCTAGAAGTCAACATTTGAAGTGGATCAAAACTAGGGATGTAACGGTATGAACATTTCTTATCACGATTAAAGTGACCAAAATGATCACGGTTATCAGTATTATCACAGTATTGTTAAAATGTGCTGGAAATGTTCAAAAAGTACTGACACACAAATCATTTCACCAAGTTTTACATTTAAAATCAACAAACAACAAATAAAATGAGTTTTTGTTTGCATAACTAAAACAATAACTTTGCCGATGATGTCCAGATTTTAAATGACAACATGACTGACAACAGTTTATATAATAGCATGTTCAAATAAAGCTTTGAAAACCTCACATTTCAGCTTTTAAATAAAGAAAAGGGTCAAGTCAAAATGATTATATGTATTTATCTGCTCCTAAAATAATACTAGATACCTTATTGTTTAAATGTGTAGAATCCACATAAGCTTGTTTTTCATCAACCGGTCAAATTTTACAGCAGGGCATCCGTTTTTTGATTTACACACCTTTCACTTTTTAAGACTAAAACAAAAGATGGATTCATTGTTATTCTTAATTAAAAAGCATAACAGCAAAAAACAGTAAGATACAATGACAAACTAGCTTATAAAACTTTTATTAACAAAAACGAATAAGACGAGGCATGGCATACACCGCATGCTGTATTATATACCGACTAATAAATTACAGAACGTTTAGCAAACACTGAGGAATCAAATAAATAAAAAAAGAGAGCCTCCATAGCATAACGTGAGGTAAACAGCAAAGATAAGCTTTTCAAAATGAAAACAAAAAGAAAAGTAAAACTAAACTTGCTGTCGGTGACAATGCTTGCATGTTTTTGTCCCACAAGAATACCAACATGTTCACCTATGGTTTAATAAGCGGTCTTTTACTTTACTTTAGCATGAAACCCATCCATCGTTTCCTCAATATTCGCATCATTTTTGCTGCACGCAGCTTTGCGCTCGTGCGCAGTGCGACTGCACACAAAATTTAGTCGCACCGGCAGAAGAAATTATCACAAAATGCGCCCATTTGGTCGCACACTGGAGCCCTGTGCAGTACAGTATTTATTTATCCTCAGTTGTTCAAATCGCGGTAATCGAATTCGGTTATAGTGATAATTAAAATATGAAATGGTAATACTAACCGTGGGGTGTTTTATCACGATTTATCGTCATCCCTAATCAAAAACTTTTATCAAAGTTGTCCTAAAACCAAAACAATACCCGTGCTTGTCTTTGATGACTTTGATGAACTTTTTTTTATCCACTTCAAATTTATTAAATATTTGTCATATTTCTACATAATATATATTGTTAAACCTATATATATATAGAGAGAGAGAGAGAGAGAGTCATATTTCTACATAATATATATTGTTATACCTATATACAGTATATATTATTTATGATACATAAATATTAAGTTAACTATTAAATATTAATGTTTAATTAATCAATATATTTATAATATTACATCATATATGTTTTTTTTTATATAATGTTTTATTTATATATTTTATCAGGTCAGCAGGACCACAGAAACGACCTCAGTCACCCAATACATGCTGATAACTGTCTTCTGGACCCAGAAGCGAATGAGTGCTGGAAAGAGCCGCCCGCTTACACCTACCGAGACTACAGGTAAGAAGTAAAGTGTTAAAACCGCTTTAAAACCATCTTCAGTACTCAAAATAACGATACTTTAAACTAAATGTGAGCCTGGTTAGGTATCATTGTTAGTCACTAAAAAAGTTTTACACAAAGCAATTAATATTAATTATAATTTTTCTCTCTTTTTTTCGGTCATTCAGTGCCCTGCTGTATCTGAACGGGGATTTTGATGGCGGAGAATTCATCTTTACAGAAATGGATGCCAAGACTGTCACCGTAAGGAAAAATTACTGTGCGTTTTGCTCATCTGTCATCTCAGGTAGAGTTTGGCATTTAAGCGCTCTGTTTTCCTGTCGCAGGCCTCAGTGAAGCCCAGATGCGGGCGGATGGTGGGGTTCTCGTCTGGCGGTGAGAATCCTCACGGTGTGCGAGCGGTCACTAGGGGGCAGCGGTGTGCTGTGGCACTCTGGTTCACTTTAGACCCCCTCTACAGGGAGCTGGTGAGGAATCGTGTTTGTCTGTCATAGAGAGCATCGGTACCAGAAGGATTCAGTCTTTGTTTAGGTTTTAGTAACGCCAGTGACATATTAACATGGTAGCATGTTTGCATTTATGTCTCTAAAATTCTGTCTAGTTTGGAAAATGTCATTTAAGAGGAAGTGGAATTTTCCATTGTGCATTAAGCACAAGTCCTGAGCCACATATGGCCACCTGTACAGAAGTGTTATACCCACCAGTGAAGTGTTGTCAAACCGCCAAACCACTTTCTGTTCTCACAACACACTAAAATGATGCCCATCTTGTTTATATACACTAAGCGCACATGTTTCTAAGGCCTTTGACCTGGAGTATTTCTACACACATCTCAGTGAACCCTGACCACTTTAAATGAATGAATATGAAATGTGCTGTACCTGGTATGACTTGTACACTGTTATAGGGGTCATATCATATATATATATATATATATATATATATATATATATATTTAAATAAACAGGGCTTTGTATTATTAAAACATCTATAAGAGCACAAAACCTCCTCCTTTGTCAAAAAAGACCATTTATACAAACTGAAAAAAATGGCTTGTAAAATACAGTACTTCGACTTCTGATATCTAAAACCTAACAAAAAAAAACAAAAACAAAAAATGCCTGAACATCAGTGGCTCCCAGTTGTGGTCAGGTTATAAGGAGGAAGTAAGATGTTATGTACTTCTAAAGAACCAAGCATTCAGACAGATGTTTTTTTGTTTGTTTTTGTTTTTTTGTGACACATACCCCCTCGAATTTTGAAGACATGGATTTGGTTTGCTCCCGAAATAAAGGTTTTTATAGTAATAATTTAAAATGTTTCATTTGAAAACTTTTAACCTTTTTCAGATTGAATTATGACAAAAAAGCCTACTATTAGTATATTTGTAATAAGACGATGAAATTGAAACACCTGGCAAGAGTCAATTCTCTTGCAGAACATTGGCCAGGTGCTGGTGGAGGAAAACACTTTCTGACTCACACTCCTCTAAAACACCCCACAGTGGCTCAATAAAATTAATATCTGATGACTGTGCAGGCCATGGGAGATGTTCAGAGTCACTGTCATGTTCATCAAACCACTGTCACCAGTCTTGCTGTGCATATTGGTGCATTATCTTCATGATGTAGGCCACCACCTCCAGGGTGCAATGTTTGAACTGGGTGCACATTAGGGGAGTAACGGTACATGTATTCGTACCGAAAATGGTTATTTCGGTTCAGCATGCATATGTACCAAACAAATCATTAAATTTTTTTCAGGAAATTCAAACAATAAATGGCATTTTGACGCTCTTTGATGTAGCGCGACAGATCACTGTATAAACGCTTCAGTTCAAATGGCAGCGCGGTCTTTGCTACTAGTTTTAACGTGAAATAAACATGAATGAACGTCTCATGCCTCATATGTAATTGCTCAATTACTGTTTCAACCATGGAAAGATGTCAATAAAACAACTTGTAAACAGAATGTCACATAGCATTTCATTTACCTCAGGCATGTCATCAGTGCCCTCAGCTCATGAGTTCGCTAGAGAAATTAAGTCTAGGGAAGAGCATTTTGCAAAATATTAGACTATTTACACATTATATTTTACTTTACCTGTTAGCGGTGTCTTAATTATTTAGGCCTAATGTACATTTAATAAATAAATCTGTTATGAAACAAGTTATGACAGCCACTGTGTAAATGATTATATTTCAACAACATATTTTATCATTTAGAAGTTAATTTAAAAACTGCTTTATGTGCAATTTACACGTTTGCATACAATTTAAGTTGTGTTGATTATTATATTTAAAAATAAATAGTAAATAAATTTAAGTTTGGGCTCTGTTGTTATATTTCATATATATATACTGTATATATATGTATATATATATATTCACCCAAAAATGAAAATTCTGTCATTAATTACTCACCCTCATGTTGTTCCAAACCCATAAGACCTTCGTTCATCTTCAGAACACAAATGAAGATATTTTTGATGAAATCCGAGAGCTATCTGATCCCCCCATAGACAGCAAGGATCCTAACACGATCAAGGTCCAGAAACGTAGCAAGGAGATCGGTAAAATAATCCATGTGACATCTGGGGTTCAACCGTAATTTTACAAAGCTACGAGAATACTTTTTGTGTGCAAAGAAAATAAAAACAACGACTTTATTCAACAATTCGTCTCCTCCGCATCACCCTAGAGCCATAGCGAACTTACCCTTTAATTGTAATCTTATATAGTAATGTAAAAGGACTCCCTAGTTTAGAGCAGAGGCTGAGGCAGATTTTTATTTTTTAAATTTTAATTATAATTGAAATTTGTTCAGTAAACCACTGTTTAATGTATAAGGCAATTTTGTTTCGTTTTTCCCCTTGCTGTACTAAAACCATACCAAACCGTCACGTCAAAACCGAGGTACGTACTGAACCGTCACGTTTGTGTACCTTTATACCCCTAGTACACCCCAGAATGGTTTGGTAGTGTTGCCTGTCTAACACCAGTTGTGGGCCTAGGTTGTGCAACAATATTGCAGCCAAAACCAACCATGCAACAGTCCAAGTGGTAATCCTCTTTGGGGTTTCTTCACATCGTAACTCCCACAGATGTGAGAAAGACAGTGAAAGTGGGCTCATCAGAGAACAATAGGTTTCACATTATCCATAGCCCAAGATTTGCACTGGGACCACTGAAACTGACTTTTGCCATTGGCACAAGCGACCAAATGTTTGGCTACAGCAGCCCGACCATGAACGTTGACTCTGTGGAGCTCCTGACGAGTCGAGGTGCACATTTAATTCTGCAGTGTGTTGGGGAGCTGTGATTTTGTTTTTTGGATACAATCTAGGTCACATCCCTTTCAGACTGCTTCCTCTTTCGTTGACAGTTACTCCTGTAGGATGTGGTTTATCCTTTGTGGTAGTATGCCAACATTACCCTGGAAACTGTGGCTCTCGATACACCACAAAAACATGCTGTCCTGGTTACAGATGCACCAGCAAGTCACACACCAACTATTTATACTCTTTTGAATCTGATATGTCTCCCATTATGTTGTGTGGGTTGAATATATGATGCAGAGCTGTGCTATTGCTATGCTAATGGAACCTTCACAATGGAGTCTTCGCACTCTGGTTTCACTGATGGAATGTGAAAACAGTGAAGATCGACCACCAGGCCACACATATAGGCACGAAATATCCAACCTCCAACACTATATTGACCAGTGTTTCAGTTTCATTTTTTTCATTTTTTATATTAAAATTTAGTACTTTCAGTGCCCTATAGTTGGCGATATCACTTCTTTTGTAGCAGAAATAAACTGCTGAAGAAAAAGTTAGGAGTCAAATTTTTTTTCCGAATTTTAAATATTTGTTGAATTTACAATAATAATCCACATCTGAATGCAAAAACGTTGGATTTGAATTTTAGATGTGTGTCAGCCTTATCAGTGGCACACAAGATGCAATGATGATGTAAGTGTCGTTGCATTTTAATGTTTTTTTTTTTAGCCTATCCAGTTGAACCAATTGGATGCGGCGCTGCTATGTTCTTAAAAGAGAGCATCAATGCGGAGAAGATGTTGTTTACGTCAAAACTGAAACCAAGCCGTTCACACAGAACGCATATTTATCGCATTTTCTATAGGGACATCTATCATCGTTGCATTCGCGTCTCGCACAAAAGTAAGTTAAACTTTTAAAAGACATGTCTCAAGACTTAAAGGGTTAGTTCACCCAAAACTGAAAATTAGGCTGCGTTTTACTCACCCCTGAGGCATCCTAGGTGTATATGACTTTCTTCTTTCAGACGAATCCAGTCGGAGTTATATAGAAAATTGTCTTTGATCTTTCAAGCTGTTTAATGCCACTCAGCGGGTGTTGCATTGCTTCAGTCCAAAAGAACTTAAATAAAAATCGCCTATCCATAAAAAAAGTGTCTCACACGGCTCCAGGGGGTGAACAAAGGCCTTCTGTAGCAAATCGATGCGTTTTTGTAAGAAAAATATCCATATTCAAAACGTAATAATCACTTTAATGTAGTTTGCGCTCACTGTTTTACACTAAAAGCAGTTCCGGGAGCATGACGTATGAGGTCAGCGTTGCACATACGCCGGTGAGTCTCGTGAAAACCAACGTTTGTTTACAGGATCAAAAGAAGCAAAGTTTCTTTACTTTAGCAAAGGAAAACCAGTCTCCTCTTGGCTTATATCGAAATCTTCTGACATTCTTCTTTACAAATCCTCGTTTTGTACTTCTAATTCTTGACC